CATATTCACCGTCACCGTCGGCTCCAGTGTCCATTGCTTCTTCTGTCTCAACTTCGGTTTCAATGCGGCGTCGTGATGACTGCCATTCCTTGTCCAGTTTCTTGAATCTTCCAAGAGCGTTGACTACACCGGTTGTCTTGGTCTTAATCTCCTTGTGGGTGTTGACCTTAGTTTGGACAAACTCTTGCAGCTCAATGGTCAGTCGCTGCTTGTTGGGCATGAGGCCCGTTTCTACTCTTGTTTGTTTCCTGTAAATTACGCATACTTTTTGATTCACCAGCGCATCGTACGGAGTGGAGCGGGTTGTCATAACTAGGAGTGGGTGTACCCTCGGAGATAGTACTCCTACCCCAGTTCCCTGAGGCCTAGCCGACACTTAGCCAGTCCCGGAATACACGGACGGACTAGACTCGCTCGGGGCGGTGAAGATTCCGATCTCTAACACTTACTGCGTACTTCCTGATCAAGGCCCGAAGTGACTGGTTCCTGATCCACTACTGCAACTTACACCTCGGCAGAGCAAGCTCACATCAGCCGTGGCCTGCATCGTCGGAAACTACGATACAGGTTCCGGACACTCCCAGTGAGTTACAGCAGGGACCGATCGTCTTGTTAGGTCAGTTAGTGTGACCAACCCATTAAAGGGGAGTTTTGTCCACGGGAGCGTATTTTGTTTGGTTATTTTGCTTGACTCCTACCCGCTGTACCCCATCAACTAAGAGATTATCCAAGTGTCATCCAAGGACAGCGAGCGTTCTCCCATCCGCTCGGGGAGACGCGCCCGGTAGCAGTATCTCTTCTGCCCCGAGTGTGTGTGTGTGTGTGTGTGTGTGTGTGTGTGCGTGTGTGTGTAAGTAAGTAAGTAAATAAGTAAGTAAGTAAGTAAGTAAGTAAGTAAGTAAGTAAGTAAGTAAGTAAATAAGTATGTGAACCGCTTATAACTTTTGAAAGGTTTGACCGATTTCATCGCGGTTGGTGCCATTCCAAAGAAGTTGGCCAAACTTAGATTTGCTGTGAATTTGAACTGAGTCGCACCGATAAATTTTAAGAAATTTGGAGAAATCTCAAAGACTAAGAAAAAAATCTTTTTTAAATGTAATTTTTCTGCAATAACTTGTAAATGGCTTTGTTGATCAATAACTAAAATGCTTCCTTTGTGCTCCGAACAAAGATGCCCAGGATGGTTTATGGCATGTTTCTGGCACTGGACGGAAAAGGCAGCGAGACGGAAAAGGCAGTGCTAAACACGATGAAGGAGATTGCTGCCGCATGTGACGCTTCTATGCCATGGCTGAAAAATCGGAGTTTCCACAGGCCGGCGTACTGATGGTCACCAGATATAGCAGAACTCCGGAAAAAATGCCACAAACTACGTCGGCTAGCAACGAGAGCCGCGAAACGCTCCACCAATCAAGATCCACCAAATTGTCACCAAACGACTTGGAAAGGCTTCACCAGAAGCGCCGAAACCACCTGCTTTAATGAGCAGCATCGTAGCGGAGCTGTTTCCCAAACACCAACCAAGGGAAAGAAGACATTATGTGAAAAACAGTGTAACATTTTTCACAACCAAGGAGTTACGGGATGCAGCGAAGACCCTCAAGACAGGCAACCGGCCCTGATGGCGTCCCAGCATCGGTGATCAAGACTGTAGCCCTGGAATACCCAGACATGCTCCTGAACACCTACAACGCATGCTTGGCAACTGGCACGTTTCCCGCGGTCTGGAAGCGGCAGAGATTGGTTCTGCTAGATAAAGGCAAAGGTGGCCCTGTAACACCCTCGTCGTTCAGACCACTTTGCATGTTGGACATTGCTGGGAAATTGCTCGAAAAGCTTATACAGGGAAGACTACGAAACGACATCAATTGTGCTGGAGGCTTTGCCGCAAACCAACATGGCTTCCGGAAAGGACGTTCAACAGTCGACGCGATCCAGAAAGTCATAGGGACAGCTGGACGGTGTCTAGCCTAGCAAGAATTATGACCAACACCATGGGACCAAGAACAAAAAAGAGAAGAGTTCTTTTAGAAGCAGTCCACTCGGTACTGCTTTATGGAGTGGAGATATGGGCAGACATATTAAAGCAGAAGACCTACCAGCGAAACATAGCAGCACTACAGCGGCGAGGCGCACTCAGAGTTGCCTGCGCCTACCGCACAGTTTCCGAAGCGGCTGTATTGGTCATTGCGGGAGCCACGCCCATCGACCTATCAGCGTTCGAGAGAGCTAAACTCTATGACGCTAAAGATAGTGACAAAAACATGAAGGACGCAAGAACGATCATAAAGGCGGAAACGCAGCAAGAGTGGCAGGACTAATGGACATCAGGAAAGACGGGCAGATGGACAGCGCGCCTGATCCCAAACATTAACGTCTGGCTTTTTCGAAAGCATGGGGACACGGACTTCTTCCTGACCCAGCTATTGACGGGACATGGGCAGTTCAATGCCTATCTTTTCAAGATGGGTTTGCACAGCACAGCAACGTGCAAATACTGCCTAAACAAAATTGACAACGCCGAGCACACGTTTTTCGAGTTTAATCGGTGGAAGGACGACAGAATCAGCACCGAAGAAACAATAGGCACAACGCTCTCCCCTGAGAGCTTCGTAACCTGCGTGATCAAAAAAGAAGAAAACTGCTCAGCTGTTGCAGCCTACGCGCAGCGCTTTTTAAAAGAAAAAATCGCAGAAAGGGATTAGAAAACATTAGTATCAAGAAGTAGGTGTCGTGAGACACAACATGGACTGCATCGAAGTAATGCTAACGCGGTCCCGATCCAGTCTTCCCGGTAACATCTATGGGGAAAGGAGAGAGGAGGATGTTTAGGCGGTATTATTGCAAAATAATATTGACTTCTGAGTCCGACATACCCAGGCACCAACACCTAGTCCTGGCACCAACACCAAGTCCTGGCATACGTAAATGTATTTTACCTCCTCTATTAAAAAAAAAAAAAAAAAAAACAACACATTGTGATGCACCTAGTGCATCCAGCAGGTGACGCTACCTGTTATTAGAGCGCTATCTACTATGAGAGCGCGAATTCAAATGGAATATCTAAATTAGTAAATATTAAATAATTAAAATTAGTTAAATTTTATATTCGAAGTAAATATTCAAATCATTTATTTAATGCTTTTACTCTTACTAGTTGTAATAAACATCTTTTGTTTAAATCTGTTTTGTTTACAAAAGAAAATAAAATAAAATAAAATAAAAAGGGAAAACATATTTAGGTACAAAAGGACATTGTAACCGGATTTTCAGAACCCATAAAAGATACTTGAGTAATTCAAGGACTATTTTTCGCCACATGGAATTTAAAACCCTATGAGGAAAAGTCGTAAAAGACACGTGTGAAACTCAACAGACCCTTGTTCTAAAAGTAACAAAGAGTAATAAAAAAAAAACATATGTAACTAAACAAAAATAATATTGTTAAATAACATTTACTGTTAAAATCTAACTTTATATAATATTGTAGTTAAGCAAAATTGAGTTAAAATAATTAATAATTATTATCTTGTATTTAATTTATAATTAATAATTATTATTTAGTTAATTTACTACTGATTTATTATTTAATCATTATTTAATTATTATTTAATTTATAATTAAATGATAATGTCTATTCTTTTATACATGATAACAATTAAACCGACTTATAATTTTATTAGAAAATCCGATAGAAATAATATTTGATTCGAATTATTAATTATTCAAACTCAAACATTAGTCCAACATATTATTCATAATATAATATATATAGTTTCATGTTATAGTTTATTATAATTTTATTGTAACTTAATTTCAAGTTAATTATAAGTTAATTTTTATTATAAATAGATTTTAAAAGGGTTTGTTAAATTAATAAAAATAGTTAGATAAACATAATGACTGTATTGCTAAAAGTGTATATTAGTGAAGTCCAACTTCAGGCCGATAGGCTGAAATAAGTATATGTAGATATAGAGAAAATACATGTTAGTGTATAAGGATCATTTATATGTAGTAGAAAATGTGTGTACTTATGTATTCCTTAGAGTGGATGTATGTATGGGAGTTATGGTGGGAGAAGAACGGAGTTTGAAGCTCTTCGGAAAAACTATGTAACGACACTTCTCATCGAGAGCTTAGATTGCTAAGATCACGTCATTGTAAACCTCAATTTTATATTTTGAAGCTTTTTAATATTTTGTCAACTTGAATAATAAATTAAAACCAACTAAATAATTTTGATCAAAATTAAATAACTTCTAAATAGAATTCTTTTATTTAAAATTATTCCTTTCCCGCGCTGAAACCGAGTATTTTAATACTCCCGGGCGAAAGAACTACAGTAAGTAAAGTTTTCAATAAATAAAAATAACATCCACTAGATGGAAGCATAACAACATACAGACATAGTGACAACATCGCGGGGCCTTAAAATGTCGAGATCTGATGAAAGCTCGATTTTTGCAAAACGAGGTGAAAACAATAACTTCCCGATTATTTTATTTTCATAGAATTTTTAACAGGAAATTCAATTGGGCACTTCCGGTCAAATTTTGAATTTTCAGCGGTGCCCAAACTAAACTCCTGTTAAAAAATTCTATGAAAATCAAATTTATGGTCTCACCCAAAAATATCTGAGGAAATGCCTAAACACAGCTGCTGTTAAAAGCGGAACTCAAAATTCCAATTTTAAAAGGTTCTTCACGGAAGTTTCGTTTTGGCACACCCTAATACACACACATACACACACACCGCAGTAATACCCACACTTACCCTATACACGCTAGAGAAAAAATGAAATATTTCAATACGCATGTATCCCACTCTTGCCTTTAACTCGGGAGTCAAAAGCAAGGATAGTTTACACACACAAACTCCCTTCTGAAAAATTCTTAAGTTGAACGTCATTAGCTGGAAAAAATTTTGTGACCTTCATAACTCTTTCTCAATCAATAAGACTCATTGATGGTAATTGTTCGTAGTTGCTTATTATTATTACCTTTTGATTGATCTGAAAGAACATGATACAATGTCGCAACACTTCCTGCACTTTGCCCAAAAATAGTGACTTTCATCGGATCACCACCAAAATGTTCAATATTCTGTTGTACCCATTTCAGCGCTAAATTTTGATCTTTCAACCCAGCATTTCCAGTGGCATTGCTGTGGTTGAGAGATAAAAATCCTAAAGGTCCTAAACGATAATTCATTGCAACAACTACTATATCATCTTCAATCAGAAAGTCCGGTCCATATAATTCGGGACTACTAGATCCACTGTCAAAACTCCCACCATGAATCCAAACCATTACCGCCCGTAGTCGTATGTCAGTATCTGCCTATATTAAAATAGAAGATATTAATCAAATGATATAATAAAGATTCATGACTACTGCCAATTACTTTCGGTGTATACACATTGAGATAGAGACAGTCTTCATTCCCCATAGGGAATCCATCAACAGGATTTCTTTGAAGACATATATTTTTTTCCTGTGTTGCTTGATAGATATTCTTCCAGGTATCGGCGTATTCCGGTGGCTGCAATGATATCATTTTTATCATTATTAAATAAAAATTACCACAATAACTACTTGGTATCGAATTTTTATTTATTTACGAAAGTAGTTTGGTAACAATTTGAGAGACGTAGTTTAGTAAAAACGTTGGAATGTAACTAGTGCCTATTAACTTAATGTCGTTTGACAGCAACAGTAAGGTTGAAGGGCTCTGGCTTCCCAACTCCTTCCAGGGCTTTGCTCATGAACTCTCTTATTTAAATGTCCTTTTATTAAAATAAAAACAAGAGAAACAATGGAGATAGTTGCAAAACAGTAGCAGGAAAAAAAGTTTCATTATTTCGAGAGTTTTCGTGACTACCTCTAAAAGAAGTTTTATACAGGCATCCGTACGTCCAGATAAACTTTTTTTTTGAAAATAGCAGCATAAAATGATTTTTTATAAAATGTAAGTTGAATTATTTAAAGTGTTTTTTGGATATATGTCTATCTATATTATCCTAGAAGTGAAATTCAGTTATGACAGCTGTTAATGACCACAAAATAGCTAGACTTTGACGTGTTGAGAGAAGAGCATTATGCTTAAATGCGTTTAGGTTATGAGGCGCAAAATAGAAAGAAGAATTAGAAAAAAATTATCAATTTTGATCTCCAACTATAACAATAAAAATCAAACTACAAAGAATAAAATAATTCTATCAATATTTGCATTGCAGTATTATCAGCCGAATCACTTACCACCGACTTATACTTGTACCAAATCATTTAGACTTAAGTTGTTTAGGCACCGAGTTATTTTGATATTGAGTAGTTCGGACCAAAGTTGCAAAATAATCGAGTTGTTATGACAAAAGTTATAAAACAGTGAATATTGTTAGCCTACTTAAACGTAAATTAACAGCAAATATTATTTTTCTAACTCTTGCCTACTATCTACGTCTCAGATCGATAATAAACTATGTTAAACAAATTGACATAAATTTTTTAGCGTAACTTAGTACAACATGTTAAATACCTGGAATCTTCTATAACCAACAGGGGGTTTTGCATAAGGTATGCCTAGAAAACTTGAGTATTGTACTTTTTTTCCTATGGTATTCACCACTTTACCCTGAACTAATCCTAAATTAGTTTTCACAGGTTTTGTCAACTTATATGCAGTCAAGATGGAATATTCGAAAAACATAAAGAAAACAGTCGTTTGAATAATTGTGAAGAGTAGCTTCATTGTAAAAAAAAGAAAAGAAATAAAAAATAATGTGATATAACTGGTAAGAAAAATATAATTATGCGATTAAGAATTCAACTTATTTTATTAAGATTTTCTTAAGATCACTGCAATTTAAGAAATCAACTTAGCTATTCATTACTAACTAATGAAATTTTAATTTAAGTAACAATATGAAATGTCACTATAGTCAACAAAAAGGTGTTCAATTTTTATAATGTAGTGATAATTTCCGATACAGAAAGATTAAGGTACATAGATATCAAAACTTATCTCATTGATAATCAGTTATTGTTATTCTTATCACATTATCTATTATTATTGAATATATATTTTTCTACTTAAAAAAATATTGATAGCATCTTAATTTCTTGGTAAATATAGCAAAAAAGATATGTAAATTATCAAATCGATCAGTTGAATGGCATTTCTTTTCATATATTAAGCTAGGTCGGAGAGCTCAAAATGACACGAAAATTACATTTTTGAGCTCGAAGAGCTCAAAAACGTAATAAGTGCTATTTTGAGCTCTTAAGTATTGAATTAGCGGGAAGTTGCAGGGATGGCCTTTAAGGTCAACCGTTTTTCTAATTTTTAACTTCCCGCTAAGAAAATTGAAAATTTTCAAAAATCGGGAAGTTATTGTTTTCACCCCGTTTTTCGAAAATCGAGTTTTCATCAGATCTCGACGTTTTGAGGTCCTAGGAAGCTTTCCTGACTATTTCCGCAGTGATGTCACCGTGTCTGTGTGTGTGTGTGTGTGTGTGTGTGTGTGTGTGTGTGTGTGTGTGTGTGTGTGTGTGTGTGTGTGTGTGTGTGTGTGTGTGTGTGTGTGTGT